CATTTCTTCTCCTAATCCTTTGAGGCCAGGAGCTACAGATACACGTCTCTTCACAGTTCACGGTTGATCAGGCTTCTGACTAGCATGCAAAGTTAAGGTAGTGTTCTACCTTCCTGGTGCCCTTTAAAATCTTCTCTCAGACCTTTTATACATAGCCAAGGTGTGCAGTGTATGAGCGTGCCGGAAGAAGAAAGGGCGGAGGACCGAATTCCCCTTCCCCTCTTTTTTTTTAACAGAAGGACATATAACACCTGTTTCCTTCTCTTAAAAAATTATTTTGCATAATTAAAATAAAAATTTTTGTAAAGGTTCCAGCCAAAAGGATTGAGGAAAAAACACCATGTAAAACCAACCATGTGTGTAGATATGTATATACACAATTATATAACTATATCTACATGTACGCTTTTCATACTAAAAGTAAGAACTAGATCAATGTCTTTAATTCTTTAAATTTCATGAGCTTAAGCTTGAAACAGAAATATGTTGGATTATTTTTTTTTCTTACTAAACAGCTTCATTCGTTGAATAAAACAGGGACTTATATTTTATTTTCTTGAACGGACAGAAATATTTTTCATTTGCCAAGAGTGTAAATAATGCCCGAGTGACAAAAACATGCACCATAATCTCACGATGAAAATATCCAGAGTATAAAAGACACGTTTAAACTCAGGCACAGTTTTCCTAAGCAATTCATTTCTAAATGGAGCTGCCTTGAACAGTCGTGTACCACTGGGTAAGAGTTCTAGACTATCAGAAAGTCAGAAATAGAAACAGACAATAAAATAGAACATATTTAGAGGCTATTTGGCCTATCTAAGGGGGGACCCCACAAAACCTGGAGTTATCTTTTAGAGGTCGAGCCCCTTGTAGTACAGGATTCTGCCCCTTGGTAAGTATTCCAAGAAACAATCAGCATCCATGTACAAGTTCATGTTGTTGTGAGAGGCTGCGTTCAGCTTCAGTGAGTGTTTGGGAGGGTTTTCCAATGTATTTGCCCATTTCGTGATAGATGATTTACACGAACAACCTGCCCACACCAAGCTGAGCATTCAGAACTTTTTGACCAAAAACAGCTTCACCCCCACGGCCCACTCTCCCTATTCATCCAATCTCGCTTCAAGTGACTTTTTTTTCCCCTCTGGATGAAAAAGTCTTCAAAGGGAAACATTTTGCCGATGTGGAGGAGGTGAAACAGGAAATGGCAGAAGTACTAAAAGGCATCAATAATTGACAAGTTCAGAAACTTTTTTGAACAGTGGAAAAGGTGTCTTGATACGTGTATTGCATCCAACAGAGTACTGTGAAGGTGACTGAAGTTTAAACATGTAAGAATAAATACAGACTTTAAAAAAAAATGCTGTTTTTTTTAAGGGGGGTCCTCCCTTGTAGATTCACTCATATCCGTCTGATAATTCTCCTGGCCCCAACCCCTCCCTTTCTCGGTTTCTTCAAATAGCTAAGCAAACATGGGACCAGGTAACTTTGGGAACATGCACTGTGCATCAATCTATAACAAAAATTGGAGAGAAAACTTGAGTCATGACATCTGTGTGTGCAAAATTCTTCCATCACCTGCCATTGCTCATCTAAGCCTGATCCCACCTGACATACCCAAACAGGACCTGATTCATTCAATAGCTGCAAGTACCCCTGCTCAGAAGGGTCACTCAGCGCCATACGGCACAATGTTTTCCAGCAGAGTGAACTGGCTCATAAACATGTAAGACAGTGACCCAGTTACACTGATTTTCCAATTGCGAAAATGCTAACGATGATTTTAGCATTGCTTCTGTCCAGATGCTATGAGTGCAATGACCAAGGACTGCTGGAGAGTCCAAAGGTGATTAAGTGTCTGACTGAGAATCCAAGGGGACTACACATGCAGGTTGTGCAGTTTCTGAAAGCTCTTCGTCCAGGCAGGCAAGGAAAAACCAGATCCTTGAAGACCCTCCCTCGTTCCTTTTAATGCACACCCCTGATGCTTACTTGCAGCTTCTTACTGACGACTTCTAGGCCCTGAACACCAGGTTCCCCACGAAAGCAGCCCTGTAAGAATAGAGTGGGGAAGGCCAGCTCCCCAGGACCAGCACTGATACTCCATAAGAATGCCAGGCCCGTTAAAGGTTATCCTTCTGCCTGCTATAATCAGCTGAAGAAGCACATCAGAGAGAATCTATATGTGACCGAATTGTTATTCTTGGTCAACGTTTGTTTCTTTGTGATAAAAACCACAGCAGCAACAAGACAGAGTGAAATTACCTTGAAATGCAAAGCCACATAATGTGTGTGTTAGTCCTGAGAGGGGAAAAGGGTACCCCTAATGGCTTCAGGATGCACCATGAGGACTTGATGGGCTTACCTTCACAAAACAGGATGGAGGAATTTGGAAGAGGTGGAGCCTGGGAGAAATGCGGTGGGGTGTTATTTATTGTTAACTGCTCCATGTAAGGGCCGTGTGTTTATCAGAGCTCAGTAAATGTGGCACGTAAGGCGAACACTGCCACTTAGGTTCCATTTGGCTAATACTAGAAGCAGTCAGCATGTTAACTAGAACTGCCTAACATTTTTTAAAGGCTAAACAATTTACACTTTTAAATAGAAGAATGCCCAGCCAACACTATATTAAAATGTGCACCACACTTTCTGAATGCTTAACAGACCCTGATTCCCAAGAGTCTTTAAGGCCATAGTAAATTAAAAACTTTTAATTAAATTTCCTTTATGTTCTTGAGTTTCTCTTGGAACCTCAATGAAACTGAAAGAACTACTTTATTTTATTTATTTATTTATTTTTTGAGTTGGAGTCTCGCTCTGTCGCCCTGACTGGAGTGCAGTGGCTGCTCCCGGCCACCGCAGCCTCGACCTGCTGGGCTCCGGCGATCCTTCCACCTCAGCCTTCCAGGTAGTCGGAATTACAGGCATGTGCTACCACGCCCGGCTGATTTTTTGATTTATTGTAGAGATGTGGTCTCGCTGCCCAGGTGGGTCTCGAGCCCTCAGGATCAGGCAATCCACTCACCTCAGCCTCCCAAAGGTGCGGGATTACAGGCTGAGCCACTGAGCCCGGCTAGTACTACTTTAAACATACCATGATTATAACAAAATGTTATTTAAAAATCTTTTTTTTTTTTTTGAGTTGGAGTCTCACTCTGTCACCCAGACTGGAGTGCAGTGGCTGTTCCTGGCCACCGCAGCCTCGACCGGCTGGGCTCCGGCGATCCTTCCGCCTCAGCCTTCCAAGTAGCTGGAATTACAGGCGTGTGCTACCATGCCCGGCTAATTTACTGTAGAGACAAGGTCTTGCCAAGTTGCCCAGGTGGGTCTCGAACCCGTGAGCTCAGGCAATCCACTCACCTCTGCCTCCCAAAGTGCTGGGATTACAGGCTGAGCCACAGAACCCTGCCTAAAAATCTTTGAAGTGTTTTCTGGGGCTTTTGAATTTGAAAATGTATACTGACCCCAATAAATTCTTCTCTAATCAAGTTCTCATGCCACCAAGGGGGACTGTCCAGGATACTAAGTACGTCCGTAAGTAAATCTACTTGCAAGACTATGAAATGAACATCAATCGTCAGGAGCATTTAAAGGTGAAGCTGGAAGATCCAGAGAGATCCAAGGATTGCAGGAGGAATATGCATTCCACATCAGAGTTCCTCACCCACGACCCAGAGCTACTAAACTTATGTAAATGCAAATGTAAACGTGTGGTTAAGAACCAACTCTTCCAAGAAATCAGCAGGAAACATGGCTTAAACAGGTCTCCTCAGGCATAAGTTAATGTATGGACCAAAATGATCCATTCCTTCTTTTTTTTGTTTTTTTTTGAGTTGGAGTCTCGCTCTGTCGCCCAGACTGGAGTGCAGTGGCCGCTCCCGGCCACCGCAGCCTCGCCCTGCCGGGCTCCGGCGATCCTTCCGCCTCAGCCTTCCGAGTAGCCGGAAAGACAGGCATGCGCTACCACGCCCGGCTGATTTTTTTAAAATTTATTTATTGTAGAGATGAGGTCTCGCTGCCCAGGCGGGTCTCAAACCCGCGGACTCAGGCAATCCACTCACCTCAGCCTCCCAAAGGCGCGGGATGACAGGCTGAGCCACCGAGCCCGGCTGATCCTTCCCTTCTTATAGACTTAGTAACAAAATGCCCGAAATGGGCTTTCATTGGAAATGGACAGGATTAAAACTTCCCAATTACTTTTACTTTACTATTATACTAAGCCACAGGAGAGATGTCTGTTATCCAATCTGATGTCTGCCGAGTGGCATCACCAAACAGAAGCTGTCAGTCTCTGTTCACCATTCTTACTCAAGAAAGTAGTCCTGAGAGCACTCTGGAGAAAACCAATCCTAAAACAAAACTTTTCCACAAAACTCTGCTGACATTCACACACTTTGCAAAGGAGAATGTATTTAATTAAGCTGCTACTGTCATTGTCAGAAAGTTTTAACTGTACCACTGAGATACGTTTTGGTTATATATTGAAATCGCATATTTAATTAAGGTATTCCAAAATGCTCTGTTTCACTATGTTCCCAGGGAAAAAATTAAATTTATGAGTGACAGAAGTTGAGATTAAAAACAAGAAACTCAGGGCCTGGCTTGGTGGCTCAGCCTGTCATCCCAGCACTTTGGAAGACCGAGGTGAGTGGATTGCCGAGCTCGTGAGTTCGAGACCAGCCTGGACAACTTGGCGAGACCTCAGCTCTACAATAAATCAAAAATTAGCCGGGTGTGGTAGAACGCACCTGTAGTTCCGGCTACTTGGAAGGCTGAGGCAGAAGGATCATTGAAGCCCAGCAGGTCAAGGCTACGGAGGCCGTGAGCGTGCCACTGCACTCCAGCCTGGGCGATGGAGTGAGACTCGAACTCAAAAAAATACCCAAAAAACAAAACAGGAAACTCTGAATGTAACTAACATGCTGGCATGAAAATTCCCCCACAGTTGTCTTGCCCTCTGAAGCACTCACATCATGTCCTTGTTGTTAAAGAGCCACACGTTCACACAATGTCTTTTAATTATATGGCTTTGTCATGCTGCTGACATAAAACATATCTGTGAAAACAAGGATCAAATTCCCAAGTGTTTATCTGAAGGCAGAGTTAGCAAAAATTCAGAGCACATCGCTGTCATGTTCCCAACAGCTGATAAAAACCTACGAAAAAATCCATAGAAAAGGGACAGGTGTGTACCTCCAGGAGCACACAGGGTGATGGCTCTTAGGTCCTTCCTTCTTGGTTGGCAGTAGTAAAGTATCTTCCACTTTCCCCCCTGCAGAGCTGTACCCATGGCCACATATGTCACTAGCTATGAAGAGCCGTGGGGTGGTCCTGCAGGAGAGGAGGCACAAGACAGAAGAGCCAGAACTGGGGAGCGTCCAGGGCCACCCTCTAGCCCGTGGCTCTGGATTCCTTGCCAGTGATACTCTGCCCTGTGTGATCCTAGCATTCCTGGTCAAGCCACGAGATACTGCAGGGAAACAAAGTGCCTCCTCTGCGGTGCTGTAAGACTTTGGCTTTTCCTTGGACCCCTCAAGATGGGTGTTTTGTGGTTTTAGATATATGTCTTGCTGCACAGAGAACAGAGTATTCAGTGGGCAATGGGAGGGCAGAGATGTGGAGTGCAATGACCCTTGTAGGATGTGCTGCGATGTTTATTGTTAAAATGAACACATCTGAGTGATCATTCAAATGCTAGCCATAACATCTAGGACAATTAATGATGGGTGCCTATATAAGTGAAATACTAATTGCTGTAGGTACTGTCCCTCGATTTGGGTGTTTCTAGATAGAAACCATTTCATATGATCAGGAGAAATCACCAAACCCCGTGATTGAAACCAAGCCTGATGGTGGGAACCTTATGGCATAGGAAAAGGCCAACAGTTTTGGAGGTATCACACCCACGGTTCTACCTTTATTTTCTTTCTAGCTATTCTTTTTTTTTCATCTTTCTTGAGCATTATTTATCTTTTAAAATTCCACTTCTGTATTCAAAGCATAAATACTCAATGGCTTAGAAAGAGAAGAATTCTCGTGACCACCACTAAATTACAGTTTAAAGACTCAAAACTACATGGCCTAAAATCTATCTTCAAGTATCTTTTTGTGACTCCGAGGACGACAGTAGTACCTTATTGCACATGGACTCCTAAGAGGCTTTTCTTTAAGAGGGTGGAAGGGCTGGGTTGGGCGCAGGGCAGTGCACAGCCTGGAAGCCCGGCAGGACCACCTTGCCCTTGCGGTGCAGATCTGCCTGCGTGCCCGTGTTCAGACGCTGCACCAGAAGCTTCTCGTAGAGCAGTGGGTGGTACGCGCCCAGGGTGCAGGCTGCGTCGTAGTACAGCTCGTGGTAGTGGCAGAGCTCCGTCTGCCGCACCGACGGGATGTATTCGTACACGTGCACCTCTCTGCACATAGACATCATGATGAGGATTCCTGACATGGAAAAAAAAAGAAAATTAGAACCCCATGAATAATTCCAGATGGGGGGGGTCCTTTGTCCAGAGAGGTGGCATTGGGAAAGGCTTGGTGAGGAGGATTTATTTGCACTCGCTTTCTTGTTCTCTTTACATGGTGACCGTTGTCACGGCCATGAAGTGCTCGCCGTCGGTCTGTGGGTCCGTGGGGTGTGGGGACCGTGAAGGCGTGACACCGCATCTATTCACTCTTTCAGTTGATTGTCACAGGCCCGGGGATAAGAGATGAGAACAAAACAGGCCAGGCTCGATGGCTTAGCCTGCAATCCCAGCGCTTTGGGAGGCCGAGGTGAGTGCATTGCCTGGCCCGCGGGTTCGAGACCCGCCCGGGCAACTTGGGGAAACCTCATCTCTACAATAAATCAAAAAAAAAAAAAAAAGAGCCGGGTGTGGTAGTGTGCACCTGTAGTTCCAGCTCCTTGGAAGGCTGAGGCAGAAGGATCGCCGGAGCCCAGCAGGTCGAGGCTGCGGTTAAAAAAAGAAAAGAAAAGAAAAGAAAACAAAACAACAAAGTCACTGAACTTAAGGGGATCAGTCTAGTGAATGATCTGCAACCTACAAATGAGACGATCATGGATCCGCTCTGCACACATGTCCCATCTGGTTTGCGATGGTAGAACGGTTATGTTCCAAATCAACAAATGCTGTAAAAACTGGATTGTAAGATAGCTGCATGATGGCAAGTGGACTGTGAAACAGTTGCTTGAAAAGTTGTAAAATGAAAACCGCACAACGGAACTGCTACTATTCCCTAAAGAATCAATCTTGTTTGCATCACAAAAGTCCCAAACCAGAGAAGTCCTGTGTAAGAAACACAGGCAGAGGAGAAAGAAGGCTTTGTGTGTGTGTGTGCCTGGGAGATTCATAAGGACTGGCCGGAGGAGGTGGAGCCTGACACTCAAGGGGCTACCTAGAGGACAAGGGGGAGAAGGAAACGGGAAAGAACCAGAGACAGCGATGGCATCCTGTTTAGAATGTCAGAGCCATGAGGCGGTCTTGTGGCTGAGAATGAGACATGCTTCAAACAAAGAGAAGGTCATGCAGTTCAAGCTCTATGAAGCCAAGTTGTTTTCACAAGTGATGGTCAAAACTTCAAATCACCAGCCAGTCCCTCTCGTTTTCCTCCCAGGTCTCTCCGTTTCCCCCCCCTCTTCCTTGGCTGACTGACTGCCCAGCGTCTGCCCCTCCCTTGGGCCGGCCTATGATTCAGGTGTGGCCGATTTAGAACAAGGAAGCTGCACCTCCTTGGAAGTGCCAGGTATGGGCACCAGCATGGACACGTGCAATGCAGGCCATGCAGAAATCTCCATTTTGATTAGCAGTGGCCGCTCTATGGACATTTTTTTCTCTCCTGGATAGAAGCGTCTACAAAGAATGAACAGGGTGAATGAGAAAGCCACCTATCCAGAGAATTAAATTCTTTTACTTAGTCACTTGAAGCCTAAACAAAGTCTCTGGTGTGTATGTTCTCTGGAGGTGAAGCTTTCCCGGGGCCTGTGTCTGTGGCGGTTCATGCTTTGGAACCAGGGGCTGTGGACCGAGTTCCTGCATACTGCCCAGCACTGGGGGACTCTGCCACACCCGGGTGCGGCGTATGCAGTGCTGGCTGTGCTCAGGGGACTATCTGAAAGGGTGCACCCTTCACTTCGTGGACATCACTGACCAGTCTAGGTATTACAACATTTTTTTCCGCATGTGGCAGGGAAGTGGTCTTTTGCACAAAGACATCTTATGACCTATTCCAGGAACTACACCTAGAAATCATAGATCTCCACTACCAGAGCATTTCTAAAAGCCAATAACACCACGGCATCTGTAGGGACTGGAGTCAATCGTGTATGAGCCCCAACCTTTACAACTCTGGTTCTTACCCTGAATGGCTTGCAAAACCCAATCTTATGCCCAGAGAATTGTCTGTCATGTAGTTGGCCCTCTCCTAAAGCAGCAGTTCTCAAAATATAGCATGGGGGGGGGCGATTGTCCCAAGCAACTTGTTCAAATAAAGATTCCTGGGATTGTCCTCATTGCTAGAAATTTAGGTTCCAGACACTTCTCAAAAGAAGACATCCGAGCGGCCAACAGACACATGAAGAAATGTTCAACCTCACTAGTCATCAAGGAGATGCAGATTAAAACTACACTGAGATAGCACCTAACTCCAGTCAGAATGGCCATCATCAATAACTCAGAAAATAACAGATGCTGGAGAGGATGTGGCGAAAAGGGAAGACTTCTACACTGTTGGTGGGGATGTAAACTAGTGCAGCCTCTGTGGAAATCAGTGTGGCGATTCCTAAAAGCTCTAAAAATCGACCTTCTATATGACCTTGCAATCCCGCTACTGGAAATAAACCTGGAAGAACTCAAATCATTCTATAAAAAAAGATACCTGCACATGTATGTTTATCGCAGCCTTGTTCACAATAGCAAGAACCTGGAACCAACCATACTGTTCATCAAAAGAGGACTGGATTAAAAAAATGTGGCACATATACACAATGGAATATTACACAGCCATAAAAAACAACAAAATCATGAGTTTCGCAGCAACCTAGATGGAATTAGAGTTTATAATACTGAGTGATCTCTCACAGAAACAAAGATCTGAGTATCACATGTTTTCACTCAAAAGTGGACCTTGAACAACTACCGTAATACTATAAGAAAAGGATTGACAGTGGAGGGAAACTATGGGGGGAGTAGGGAGGGGAAGGGAGGTGGGATTAACGGTAGTCAATATATGTCCGGGGAAAGGGGGACACACCTCATCAACAAGGGTACCTGCACAATGAATATTTGTATACCTAACCCTTAACTGTACCCCACAATTTTAAAATAAAGAAATATATATTAAAAAAAGAAGAGATCTAGGTTCCACTGGTGACAGGTCCAGGCCTCTGGATTTTTAACAAGCATTCCTAAACTGTCTGTAGTGAAAGGCCATTTGATAAAAATTCCAATCTTTCACAGATCAATACTTTTGTAAAGTACAATAACGAAGAATTTCTAGAAAAAGGATCACCTATTTGGATGCCATGGGCATATGAAATTTCTAGAAAAGTGTCTGAATATTTTCAATGTCTATACTTGTTGTAGACCAATAACAAACCTTCCTAGATCTGTGCTGGTCTGCTGACCAGGCTAGGCTAACACACACGTTTTTTGGAAACTGCTGTGAGGGATCTCCAAGGTGTCTCGGTGGAAGCGATATTCTGCATGTTTGTAGCAAGAAAGAGAGGATACCGAGGCATCTTGCCAGGAAGCAGCGTTTATTCATGCCAGCACTGGCTCAGTATATTCACATCCAAAGGCTGAGCCCCAAACACAGGGAGGCGTTGTCTTATATACTATTTCTTTACATTGTAACCTCTTTGTCTCCCTCATAAGGTTACAGTTTGGCATTATTCATTTGATTGGATATTTTGTAGCTCAAGGCTGCTGTTAGCATTACATGTCACACACAGATTGATTTTACATAATTATGCCATGTGCATGTCCTGTTTACTGATTGTCTTCCAAGATCATTATTCTGATTGGATTCTGCCAAAAGTTTGAACATGTGGCCCGCCCAAGTGAAAAGCCTGCCAAAAGAGAAGCACAAAGAAGCAGGAAGCAACTTATTTTTCCTTTTCTTACTCCTGCATTTTCAGAAGGGACCCTACCTCATGTTGACAACTATTCTAGCGTTGAACTGCTACCCAGACCCAAGTAAGAAGAGTCTTGGGTAGTTTCACTACACATCCTTGCTATCTTCTCAGTCGCAAAGAGCTACAGATGCTTGAATCTGATTATTTTTTCTAGAAAGTTTTCCAAAGATGTTACCCTTGCTGCTAGTTAACTGTTATATCTTAAATCACATATCTGCTAAATATACAATACAGATTTTTGTCACATGACTAGGCAAAAAGCTATGCTTTCCATATATGTAAATAGATATGATCTTAGTATTTTATTATATAAGTCTTTTAAAATAATGTCTAGAGCTTCAGAAATAGAATTGGTCAGTTAGTTCGTGACAGTCCACAGTGAAAACCAATAGATGCTAAGAAAGACTGGGTGTTCATCCCACATTACCTGCACAGCTCTTCCTGATTTTTGATGATCAGGTAGAGATTTAGTAACCATAGTTCCCCCATGTCCTTTTGCAGTCTTGCAGGAACTTGTAGCTTCCTGTAACGGTGTGTGAACCATGGCCTAGAGCATTCTAAAATGTGCGTCGTTGGGAGCCGGCCATGGAGGCCCACCAAGCGTTAGGGATCAGGAAGGGCCGTTGACCCCGAGACCACGTTCGGGAGTTATTAACCCCATTTCCTCCCCCTTTCTACTCAGCACTAACCAGATTAAGCTCCTGTGAGCTCAAAACATAAAAACCCTGAGACCGGGACGAACACAAGCTAACTTTAGAAGCTCATTGCTCCCATTCTTCCACAAACTGCAGTTTTGGCTTCCACAAAACTTATAACTCAAACTTGTGTCACATCGAATAGCCTTAGTATTGGTCACAGGCTTCTGGGTCATGATCTTAGGATTTATTGAAGGTGCAAATTGTAGAATATAGTTTTAGAAGACAGCCATTTTGTTGAAAGAATGCGGCTGGTTTACTTGCAGGTAGCCCACTGTGAACTTTGGGCCGGGCCACATTCCAAACATTCTGGGATGGGCCACTTTTGTTTGTAAAGTAAATACTTAAGCTTCTACAGAATTGTTTAACTTGGCATAAATCAATCAGTTTAGGATGAAAAAGGTTTATAGAATATGTCAGTCACAGATTAGGTTATCCTTTGTTATGGGATTTTAAGATTATCATATGAAAAGGATGTAAAGGCAATCATTGATAAAAGACCCTTTGTAATTCCCAATAACACATACACATCGCTTCTGCACTAGACCGGAGTTCAGTCTCTTTCTTTCTCTCTCTCTCTTTCTCTCTTCTTCCCCCCAATCACCGACACCGTCTCC